TATGAAATGTACCGAGTTCAATATTCTCCTTCATGTGTTCTTTATTATAACTATTTATACACCCATATAGTGTGTTATAATCCATAACATTACATTAGTGAGTTCATCGTAGCAGATGAGACTTAAGAATAGTTTAAGCGATGTAGCATTAGTTATGATTATAGCACGGCTTGGTGAATGTATTATCAGTTCCTAAAATATTACAACAGTGAGATAATATTATGTGAATGGTTGAATCCAATTTCGTATGCGTCATCATTCGTGAAATTGTTCGTCTCTTTATAATTCCTCCATTAAATATGCTCATTTATATACACGTTCTCATTCTATGATATGTAGTACATAGATGGATCTAGGATTGGGGCTCATATGCTGAAAATCCTGTATAGAAACCTCTCATCAGCATATATGAACTTAAGAAACGGACTAGCAAACACAAGGATACACATCCTCAAACGTATTTCTCAGAATTTTAATCAATAGCTACGTATTATTTAAGTTCGGCATTATTTCATTTATTATAATGGTATCGCGAAAGACTTCTTTTTAGCATATTTTCCATAGTAAGACACTTAAGCAGATATTGTGACATGTGTGGTTTGGGTCCGGACACAATTACCATGTAAGGGGAGACTTATGAAAGCAGCAGACACATACATTTTCATAATAATATGCAAAAACATACATTTTCATAATGATATGCATACACCTCATTACATATGTGTATAGAAAGAATTCCCCACATAGTTCTTATTATCATCATAGCACTTTTTTCCTTTGGTGCTTTTAATTTCTGCCATGATTTTGCTTTGTGTAACTTATATTTGAAGCTTATTTTCTGGATAAGGGTGAAATAGAATATTGCACTTTTAGGATTCCTTCCGAAGATTCTTATATTTATGTTAAACGTGTGGAATTTGCAGACAGATAAAGACAAATAAACCAGCACTATAAGGCGAGATGCAGATGGTCCACAAGCCACAGCAACAGTTTCTGTATAGGCAGGATGCACAGGAGAGCCGGATAATGCTGCGCCAAATAATGTACAAATTAGAAATTATTTTCCCTACAGGGTAATTCTCCCTAGAAAGGGCACTGTCCCTCATAGGAGAGATCGGACGAATTGGTGCAGAATGCGAAGGGGGATAATTTCTTTTATAGTATACTATTCATTTATTAATACGGCCTAATGGAGGTTACCTGTTTTCGATAACATTGACCCGGCTCACGAACATTCCATGCGTTATTGTAGGATACAGTGGGAGAGGTCAACACTTCACGATGCTGGATGTAATTTTGAAAGGAAAGAATGCTACGGAGGGTATAACCCCAAAGGCGGGTTCATTTATAGCATTTTGAGCCTAGAGGCGATGCGATTTGGGGTGGACTATGATAGGCATCTTACAGATTCGAAATTATTCTCCCCATTGACGCAGAATGGATGTCTTCTGTGCAATGAATAATTGGAGACGCCCCTTTGGATGATCATTAGGGTAATTTGCTAGGGGCGTTACATTGCGATACTGTGGCATTTCTGGTGCTGGCCCCTTATGAAAGGATTATGTAGTATGATCTAAAATTAGTCCCCTTCTGAGAAATATCTCTTATGACATATGTCATCATACAATTATGAAATCTTTAATTGCTTAGAATTAGGAAATGAAATGTGTTATTAATAAGAGGAGCAGAATAGTAGTTCGAAAAAAGAAAAAGATTACTACGCAATGCACGCGTTAAGTATAGATAAATAAAAATAAATAAATAGAAATAAATAAAAATAAATAGAAATAAATAAAAATAAATAAGAATAAATAAATAGAATTAAGTAAAAATAAATAGGAATAGATAAAAATAAATAGAAATAAATAAAAATAAATGAAAATAAATCAAGATAAATGAAAATTCCCTTCCCATTATATTATTTGCGTAATTTACACATCTTTTACAGGGGAGCTCTTATTCCTAAAAGGTCGTCAATGGAAAAATATTTTTGGCATTATCACGGATGGATTAAATTATTATTCTTAACTTAATCTGTTAAAAGAATATATTTGCTATTCTCTATTTTTTTTTCTTTTTTCCTGGTTAATTCGTTCTATATTTTTCAGCAAATATGCTACGATAAGCGGAATATAAGTCAATAGAAATATGCTCCCTAATTAAAATCCTAACAGAGTACAAGTTCTGTATAGTATGCTTATATGGAGTTACACATCCCTCAATAATTAGAAAATAGAATTTATAATGCGTCGCCGATTTGTAAGATGTGAGGGTTCTCCATAGATTACACCCTAAATTATCAGTTTCCGTATTAATCTTCATACGCATAATAGGTGTATTTTTACAAAAGGAAGAAAAAATATTTCTCTGCAATATTTATTTACTCCGAATTGACAGTTTCTAATTTTCCCAATGATAATAAAATGATTGTAAGATTTCCTTAATCCGCCCTATTCTCCTACGACACCATGGTATTCATTTTATGGCCAATAGAATGTAATGTTAATATAAAAATCAAATCAGCGGGTCCTTCATTGGGAATATAGCATCTGGAATGTGATGTAAATGTCGTCATATACAATTATACAGAATTCAGAGTTTCTCATTATCAAGAGGAATATTCAATCTGGGAATAATTTGAGAATTCTGGAAACGGTGCCATTCTTCTCTTTTTACTTTACTTGGTGTCATATGTTAATTAAGGTGTGTATTTGAAGAAGGTTGTTTCCTTTTATGGACATTGCTCGCAGAGGTGTCGTTCTGCTAATAGTTGAGCAGTATACATATACATGTGTCTACATATATATTTTTCCTTCCCTCATTTGTTTTTTGTATTTAGGAATTGCTCTTATTTCTATGTCGTATAGAAATGAGTGTTTTTCCTTTCGTTTTTTCCTTTGTCCCCTCCCGTGCTTGCCCTTTTCTTTTTTCATTTCCGATTGTTTTACTCGTTTTTTTCTTTTTTTTTCCTTGTAGTTTCTTCCCGTTGTCTGATTCTTTTATGTTCAACCTTAAGAGTCTGTATTTCATGTGATTTATAATCTTTCCTTTTTTCTTTCCTCTTTCTGTTTCCTTCCTTTTTTCTTTTTTTCATTACATCATACATGTTTCATTTTCAATTCGGGAGAAATAACAAAGTGGACTCTTTTCTTTTTTTCCCTTTCTTTTGGTTATACACTGTAACTTTCTTATGTATGTTTCGCGCTCCTTTAGATATAGAGATAGAAAT